TACGTCCTGTGTCGTACTGCATCGTACAGTTGATTGGCAGTTTCCCCATCAGAGCAGCTTACTTTGGCTTCTTTTCGTATCTCTGTTTGCTTATTAGACACGCAGTCCGGTGTGTAGACACAGGGAGCCGTGCTCTTTCAGTGTGTGCCTTCTGTTGTCTGGAGACCCATAAAATCAGAGGGTTGGCAGGTGCAGCATTCCGCTCTTATTATTTGCCCAAGCTGTTTGATAGGGCAACGGGTGCTGGTGCATTACAGCAGTTCATAAAGGACAATGTCTTCTATCTCAGGAGGCAGATTTTCAAATAGAGTCTTAGGATTTTGGATAAAAAAGGTCAACCACAGCAAACTCAATTTGAAATAGCCTTAAAAGCAATATTGCTGTCATGTGGAGTGAGGGGATAAGATATAATTTTAGCTTCTTTGACAATTTATGAAAATTAACACTGCAGTTTTAAAAACGAGCTGTAAATTAGCCATTAGGGTAGTAAGCACAAATAAATATGTTCTATTGGTATTTGAAGAGCGAAAGATATATTCTAATTTAGAGGAGGAATATTGTTTTCCTCTGTCAATGTATCTGAAATTCATATGCTCTGGCTGTTTAATCAGTACATAGACGGTCTATTTAGGTGAGTGTATCAAATGAAAGGTAAGGCAAAATTTTTTAGTTTTACTCTAAATTGGTTGTAAACCTCAGGATCTAGGAAGAGTTGTACCAGACAATAATTTTGTACCTTTTCCCTTTAGAATAATTTAGCAGAATTTTATTAAAACCCTCTTGGCTGTCGGTTAGTTAGATAAATGAAAAGAGCTCCTAATCTTCAGGGTAAGGTAAATTTTTAATAAATAATTTTGCTTTTCTGTTTTGTTAAACTTTGCTCTCATCTTATGGCAAGTTATCACTCCATTAGGTATCCAGTTTCTCTTGGCTTTGGCTCCCTTTCCCTCCTGGCGAGGTGACCAACTTGTGGCAGTGGTGACTCTAGGATTTGATCCAGGTCAGCCGTGCCCAAAAGGGCTCTCCGTGTGCTGTCGGCTGGCGGAGGCAGCTGCCTGAAAGGATTTGAAGTCAAAATGGAATTCCAACAGGGTGAAGGGGACGGCACTGGGAAGAGAAAAGCAAAGAAGGAAATGTTTTGAAACTTTGCCAGTAGGCTTTTAATGAAAATATTTTAATCAGGACTTTTGAATTAAAAAACAACAATCGAGTAGACTTAATATGAATTCATTCTCTAAAGAGAAAATGAATTAGATAATTAGGGAAATGCAAATGAAACAGCCCATCAAACTACCCAGATATCCCAACAAAAAGACGGTGCATGTTAAGTTGTACAAAACTGGGATTGTTTAAAAGGGCCACGGTTGACGATTAACCAAGACGATGTCCTTCTGGCTGAACTTAACTCTCCTGAGATTGTGGGCCTTTGCACTGCAGCAGCAGCAGCATGCCAGCGCAGTGGGCAGAACAATCCCAACCAGACAGAGAAAGGCATCCACTGGCTCCAGCTCTCGCACTGGTGACCAGCCCCTGCGTTTGGAGAATGGAAGATTTAACATGGGCTGCTAAGGACTTGAACCTGTCGTTTAGATTTCATGGAAAAAAAGGAAACATTCCTTCATTTTTACCTTTGCTTCTCAGATACTTTAATATTGCATCCGTGCCCTCCCTCCCTCCTGCTCTTACCCCCTCTCTGTCTTCACACACACACACACCTACTGCTTTTGATGTGCTGATTTTATCACTTCTAGACTTTACATCTGGGACTGCTCAAGTAATTACACTGCAGCGCAGCTGCAAGGGCTGCTGGGACTCCTTCCTTCCCGGGAAAGCCTCGCTGCTTAAGGGTCCTGTAGATGAGGCAGCCCGCAACAGGCTCCTAATGTTGGAAGAGTTGTTTAAAATGTTCCCGCCGCGAATGTCCTCCCTGGCCTGTAGAGCTCTCTCGACAGCCGGATTCCTGGTGTGCAGGGAGGATGCATGAGCCTCAGGGTCTGGAAGAACCCAGCCCCTCTTTGTGGGCTGTGCAACCACCTTTTGCTCGTCTCCTGCCAGATTTCTTCCCTGCTTCTCTGGCACTTCAAGTGTGTTTTGGGAGCAAATCTTGCACACAGACCCAGATTACTGTGTCTGATAAAAGCATGGGGATTAAGATGACTCTAGTTTTTTTTCCCCTGAAAGTCACTAATTTGGAAGTAGAAATATATCTATGTGTATCAAATAAGTATGGTCTGGAAGATGCATCGTGAAATGCTCCTGAGTGAGAAGAGCCCTATGTATAACTGGAGAAAACTACAGATTCCATTAATCATAAGGCAGCAACAGGCCTGGCAGCTTGGAGGTAAATGGATTTCTTTGCGTGCGTTTGTCTCCTAGGGCCACTGTAATAACGTTCCACAAACTGGGTGCCTTCAAACAACTGAAATTTGCTCTCTCGCAGTTCTAGAGGCCAGAGTCCAAAATCAAAGTGTTGGTAGGGTGGGCTCTTTCCGGAGGCTTCCAGGGAGAAGCTGTTCCCTGCCTCTCTCCTGGCTTCTGCTGGTTGCCAGCAGTCCTTGGCTTGTAGACACATCACTCCAATTTCTGCTTCTGTTGTCACATGGTGTTCTCTTCTTTGTGTGTCTGTGTCCACATTTCCCTCTTCCCATAAGGACACCTGTCATTGTACTAAGGCCTGCCACACACTAGTGTGACCTTATCTTAACTTGATTACTTGGGCAACAATCCTATTTCCAAATAAGGTTCTATTCATTGGCATTAGGACTTGAACATAGCTTTTTGGAGGGCACAATTCCACCCAGTACACGGTGTTCCCCACACCTTTCTATATTTACACGTCCACTTTGCCTATCTCCATTCTCAGGTCAGTCCTGAGTCTTTCTCCTCTTGACACTCCCAGGCAGGCCTGCACTTTCTGGATCTTTCCTATCTGCCTTCCCTTCTTCTATTTCAGGTTAGCCTTACTGATTGTTTCCATGACGGTCATTCCCTCAGGGTCCTGATCTTTGCGACATGGGACGTGATTTTCAGTTGGCTTCTAGTGTGTGCCCCTTTGGATCAAAGCACAGTAGACCTTGGAATTATTGACTTTGACAATTGTAATGTCAGCTATTAGAAAAAAAATGAGAAGCACACGCCAAGATGCAATTGGTAGTTTGTGGGGCATGAATCTGAATTTCATGGTTCTGCGAAGCGTGTGGAGTCTCGTAGAGCTGGTGATGGGCCCGGCCTGCCTCCCAGCACCTGCCTGCCTGCCTAGCTCACTGGTTCTCTAATCACAGCTTGATCAATATTTATCCAATTATTTTGTATTTATTTTTTGGTGAGGAAGATTGTCCCTGAGCTAACACCTGTGCCAATCTTCCTCTATTTTATGTGTGGGATGCTGCCACAGCATGGCTTGATGAGTGCTATGTAGGTCCACATCTGGGATCCGAACCCCTGAACCCGGGGCCCCTGAAGTGGAGCACGTGTCTTAACCATTACATCACTGGGTGGGCCCCTCCAATTTTTTTTTTTGATAACATTATCTAGCAAGTGAAAAAATATATGTTTGTAAAATATATGTGAGTGAATTGTAGTGTGAGGGGAAAATAATAGCTTAGACAAATATTTTTGTATACATATAGATGTGGAGATTCTTGAAGATCTCATATATTCCTCATGAATATCAAGGATCTATAATGGTTGCATGTGCTGAGATGCAATATGTTGTAGTGCAGTGATTTTGAAACTATTATTTCTTATTTTCTGTAATTTTTTATTATTATTTTTTAGCAGCAGTATTTTTTCCCAAAAATATTAACTAGAACTTTAATGTATAATGACAGAAAAACCGAATAGGTGGGTTCCTCAAGCAATTATACAGATTTATTGGTTTTTGATTGGATGAGCTAGAACCCTCTAAACTTAGCATTCAGAAAAGGAAGAGGCCTATGTAGCAGGACAGCCCTGACAGTCCACCCACTCTCCCACCCGGTGCTCCCTGGGTGCACGTACGGGGGGCATCTGTGCTCTTTGTCAGGGTCTGGCTGGATGTGAAGCTTAATGGCACCTTCGGGACCAGGGAACAGCCGCTGTGGTCCCTGTCTGTCTAGTTCTGGGGAGAACAGAGGATGTGTGCAGTTAGGACGGCCTCCAGATAGGATGGCTGCCCCTGCCCGATGGCGATGGTCCATTGTGACCAGGGCTCCCCTTTTGTATTTCTCTCAGCTTCCTTCTGTCAGAGCCTGGTTAACTTCTGACAGACGCCATCTTCCTAGTGTCAGACCTTCTCCTGTAAAAGTCTAGATGGGCCTTTATCTTACTCAGGGAGATCAAATTTGGTAATATTCAAGAAATCCATATTTTTCTTAGCCCATATGTGCTGACCTTGTGTTCGATTTACAATAAATTATAAATCAAAACATACCATCTAGCTTAAATATAGCCATAAGAGTTTTATGGATACAAGAGAGAAAAATATCTCTTCATATATATGTTATTTATATATATTATTTTCATATAATACATGTATTATTTTTTGTCAACTTGGCCTGTCAGTTGGAGCGAGGTAAATCCTACATAGAGCACAGTGCTTCAGAGCAGGGTTTCTCAGCCTTGGCACAGCGACGTTTTGCAGGGATGACTGCTATGGGGTGTCCTGAGCATCTGAAAGTGCTTAGCAGCCTCCCTGTCTCCCAACTAGTTGCCAGTAGCACTCCCCCACCTAGCTGTGATGTTCAAAATGTCTCCAGACGTTGCCAAGTGTCCCATGGGGGACCAAATCGCCTGTGGTCGAGAACCACTGCTCACCAGTGACCGCGGTTTTACCAAATTAACTATGTATATTCTAAGAGTTCTTATCACATGGATCTACTACTTTGCTGTTTAGTACCTAAAGATTCATGACTATAATATCTTTGTCATGGCTTTTTTTATCATTCCCAAATAACCCTTTGATCTTTTGTATTAAATTCCATTTTCTCTTTGATTAATATTGCTGTTCCTATGTCTTTCAGCCTCCCATTGTCTGTGTACTAATCCTGAGTTGTGTTATGGAAAGACTGAGAATCCTGCATCCCATGATTTTCTGTGCTTAAGCAATGCACTTGTTGGACTATGAGAAGGACACAGTAAGTGTCGTATTCTTTCCAGTTGAATCCTTTACAAAGTTTTATCCTGCCAAAGAGAAAGAAGATTCTCTCTAATCCTGTGACTTGGACACTTGGCTTCTGGCTCAGTTTGCAAGGGTAACCAGGAGGGTACAGATCGGTTCCACCCAGGTACAGCCCAGGCTAGTCCTACTTGCTTCCGATGTTTGTGATTATGGCCCAAAGCTTCCAAGAATATAGCCTCTAGAGATGAGCAGAGCTTCCTGGTACTGCAAATACTTCTGAAAAGCTCCTTTTGTTTCTGGAATGCAGCAGATAGGGTGTTCTCTGTAAACAAACCTTCACAGTCCTTGAGAAGAGAGCTGTACGTTACAGTTTAACTGTCACTATCTCTAACAGGAGGAGACAAATTCCTGAGGCTTGAAAATGAAAGACAATGGCAAACATTTGGTTAATTTACCATTGGGTAATGAATTAGAGGTGCCTTTCCTGGTCCCGCCTGCCCGCCAGAAGCCTCCACCCCCTCTTCCAGGACTGGTTGCCACCCACTCATCTGTCATCTTGCTCACTTGTCACCTACACAAAGCCTTTCTTTCTTCTCTGCAGGCAGTGCTAACGGCTTCCTCCTCTGGGTCCCCAGCCCTTTGTGTGTGCTATATTTAGAAGGACACAAATTGTTCTGAATGATTTGTTTGTACGTCTGTCTCCCCAAGGAGGTGATGAGCTCCTTGGAGCCAGGGACTATGTCCTCATCATTTTTAGATGCCCATCTATTTTTGTTGAATAAATCTGTGAGTCTATTTTCAAATCTTTCTGAACTCTCTGTGATTCCTGTTGTCATCAACATAAACTCCAAACTTCAGTCCTCTTAAGTGCCTCAGCCTCGTCGCAGTGAACCAACATTTACAGCTCTCCCGAGTGTGTGGGACTCTCTCTCTGCTCTCTACCCATAACGGCCCCTCTTGGAACGGATCTCTCCAGACACCAAACCATCCCTTTCCCTGCTCTGGGTTGACTCTTCCTCGTTCTCCAGCGCGGTTAGGAGCACATCCTTGGTGTCCCTACAGCCTTCTGTGCTTTCACCCACACTGTTGGGATGGACTACTGGCATGTCTCCTTTACCCCCTGGACTGAACGGTCCTGGAGCAGAGAGCCTGGGCCTCAGTAAATCTCTGCTGATTATGTTTCTTACAAAATCCGTGTAACGTTTTATGAAACTTTGTACTAAAGGAGAAAGAATACGTAATTAAAAATTAGAAAACTTGAGTGCTTGTCCAGGTTCTAGCAGAGGAAACTAGCATGTAAGTTTGCCTACCTGTTAGAGTGCTTTAGCAAAAAGTAGATATCAGCAAAGAAAAACAGGCCCTTGCCAGAAGTAGGACCCGAAGTGCAAGGACGGTGAATAAAACGGACAAGTCAGCTTAGCAGCAACTGGGCTTGACAAGGTCCAGTGGAAAGAGAGCATCAACTCTTCATGCCACAGTAGTGCAACAACACAGGAACCAGAACGACAGGCCTGTGCCCGGGCAGGCGGGTTGACACCAAGATTGCCCCAGGGACAAAAGGAAAGAATCAGTTTTTGGTTTTGGATAAAAATAAGACATCAAGCCTGAGGTTTATTTATTTACGCACATGTCTGCTATTTATTCCCTGGTGAAGTTACTGGAACAAATCCGTGTCAGCCGTGTGGCCTTGCTGCAGGAAGGGAGACAGCAGGGCTCATGCTTTGGGAACTTGTGACATGACTGGGAAGTGACAGCTGCCAGCCCTGCTTGCCCTGGGTGTTGTCAACACTGACTACCTGTGTGAGAGATGGCAGGTCATTCAAAGTCTTTGAACCTCAGGGTCTTTCTCTGTCAAAATGAGGATATATATTTACCTTATGAATCTTAGATGATAATTAGCCTTGAAAATTTTCTAGATCTATAAAATTGTTTACACCTTCTGTCCATGGCCACTCACGGCATTGAACTTAGCCATAGGAAGGGAGGAATGTGTCTTCTGTCCTCTGTGCCGCTACTGAGCTATCCAACCTGGCTGTCACACACAGTGAATATTTTAACATGCAATGTATACTTTGACAAGTGTAGAGCCATTTCTCTTTAAATCTCTCTTTCTCTCATGGGTTAGATACCTCAAGCATATATTTTGCCTGACTTCCCTCTTTTTTAGTGTATTCACTTATTAGAGATTTGCTACATGTCTCTCATCTGTGTCAGGACTGAGGATAGGAAGTCCAGTGGAATGGGCCCTAGACACAGAATATGTCAGTGCTGTTTTGCTCATGGTAGTGGCCATGATTGGGGGCGATGTATGTCAGTTTAGGCAGGTGAGCATATTTTGAGGGCCTGGCCTTGTCCACGCTTGGCATTCAACAGTGGTGGCTCATTGACATGGCACAGGCTCTGGAGTCAGGCCACATTCTCTCCTTGCTCTGCCCCTCACCATCTGTGTGACCTTGAGCAAGTTACTTACTGCTTCTCCAAACCTCGGTTTACTCTCCGGAGGATGAGAATACCAAGCACCTGCCTCATAAGGTTGGTGCGGGGGGTCAACGCACCCGTGCACGCAAGCCTAAACACGACGTGCATGCCACGAGTGCCAGTTATTATTTGTTCCCTTTTGAGCACTGATGTCAACTTGTAAAATGGGTGTTACTGTCCCGACAGTACATGTGAAGAGCATGAATTTCAGCCAGCTCTAGTAAATTCAGATTAAACTTTTCTTTAAGTGGCAGTAAGTCACAGCCACCACATTCCCTCTGGGTGAGCAGGCTCATGGCAGGCTTCTGGGGGAGGAGCAAGAGAGTAGGACTCTTCTGGAGAAGTTTCATAACTCTAACCAAGAAACGTCCCAGGGAATGACTGGACAGTGACGCAGAGACTCTGAATCCTTGAAGTTGTTGTTGCTCGTTTGTTAATTAAGCAACCCTGCAACCAACTGTCCTGCCTGTTATTATGCCACAGAATAGGACTTTCTCTTATGAGAGATGATAGCATTTACTTGTTTTAAAGTTCTTTCCAACAGGAACTTCTGTTACTTGTAGCCAATAGGATATAAGTGGTCTTATCTCCACATGAGTGAGTCAAGATGTTGACTAATGCAGTTAAATCTTTGTGGGATTTTCAGACATTGGAACCATTGTTTTAGACCTGTGATAAAAGGTCTGCTAGGTAGTGAATTATGGCATTTTGGGTTTGGAAGGACTCTTAGAGATTATAAGTAAGAGTGTTTACAAATCTACACCTGTGACTGTCCCAGTTATCTATTTCTGCAGAACAAATCACCCCAAAACTTAATGATTTAAAACAACAAGAATCATTTCATTGTTGTGATTGTCAGCTTTATGTGTCAACTTGGCTAAGTTATAGCGCTGAGTCATTCAGTCAAATACTAATGTAGATTGTTGCTGTGAGGGTATCTTATAGATGTGATTAACATCAACAGTCAGTTGAGTTTATGTAAAGGAGATTATCCTTGACAGTCTGGGTAGGTCTGATTCAATCAGTTGAAAGTCAAATTGAGGCTTCCCTGAGGAAGGAGAAATCCTGCCTGTGGACTGCAGATTTAGCTCTTGCCTGAGCTTCCTGCCTGCCGTTGCTGATTGATGTCTGTGCTACAGATTTCAGATTTGCTTAACTGGCTCCCACAATCATGAAGCTAATTCCTTACAATAAATATCCTTCTGGTTCTGGTTCTCTTCTGGTGGAATCCTGACTGACACAATTATTGTCTCTCACAATTCTGGGGGATTGACTGAGTTCAGCTGTTTGTGGTTTTCACTTGGGATCCCTCAAGCGTTTGCAGTTAGACAATGGCTGAGGCCAATATCGCCTTGAAGGTATTACTCATGTGTCTGACAGTTGGCTAGGACCTCAGCTCAGCATTGGCTGGAAAACCTATACATGGCCTTTCCATGTGGTCTGAGCTTGCTCCTAGCATGGCAGCTGGGTTCCAAGAGCGAGTGCCCCAAGAGAACAAGGTAAAAGAGTGTAGCTTTTTCTTTTTCTTTTATGACCTAGCGGTGGAAGTCACAGAGCCTCACTTTTGCCATACTTTATTGGTAAGAGAGCTATAAAGGTCCACCCAAGCTCAAGGGGAAGAACACAGACTCCATCACTTGGTGGGAGGAGAGTTAAGGTCACACTGTAGAAGAACATGTGGAATGGGATATAATTTGGTAGCCTACTTTGGAAAACGCAATCTACCACAATGAGCAAATTTTCACCAATTCATGGTGAAATGAGAAAAATAAAGCCAAATTGATTCCATTTAGAAGACAGCCCTTGATTCTGAGCTTAAGTTTTTTTTTTAAAAGATTTTATTTTTTCCTTTTTATCCCCAAAGCCCCCCCGGTACATAGTTGTGTATTCTTCGTTGTGGGTTCTTCTAGTTGTGGCATGTGGGACGCTGCCTCAGCGTGGTCTGATGAGCAGTGCCATGTCCGCGCCCAGGATTCGAACTAATGAAACACTGGGCCGCCTGCAGCGGAGTGCGGGAACTTAACCACTCGGCCACGGGGCCAGCCCCCTGAGCTTAAGTTTTGAAGTTGAAATGTCCTATATTGAATGAAGTGTAATTATTGTACTTGGCGATTCTTCTTCTAAATGTACTTACTGTGCAAAATAAAAAGCTGGTGAATTAGGGTCAGTCTCCAGGTTTTTGTGAAATTCTGAATCTGTCAATTTGATTGGGTCCACTTTTCTATTCAGTGTTGTGAGGTCATTTGTAGAATTCCCCATAAAGGATCTTTCATTCTCAGAACACTCCTGATGACCTTGGGCTCTTCTTGTTGCTAAAGTCCTTACTAGTATAAAGTTCTTACTTGCCTCCCTGCTGTAACTCGTATCTTTGATCTGGAATCTTCCCTCTCTATTGGCTTCAGAGCGTTCCTACATGTGATGACCCCTATCATCGCTGTACCATCGAGTCTTCCTTTTTCTAGGTTCGACAGTCTTAATTCCTATAAACAGTCTTTCTGTGATCCATGAGTAGATTGGGTTCTAGATGAGTTTCTGTAT